GATTGATAGACATCAACTGATACTGGATTCTGAGTTTGCAAAACTAATAGTAGCAATTGTTCATCCATCTAACCATTTATCTTTTTTTTTTTTTTTTTTTTTTTTGAGTTGGAGTCTCACTCTGTCACCCAGACTGGAGTGCAGTGGCCGCTTCCGGCCACCGCAGCCTCAACCTGCTGGGCTCAGGCGATCCTTCCACCTCAGCCTTCCAAGTAGCTAGAATTACAGACATGCGCTACCACGCCCGGCTGATTTTTTGATTTATTCTAGAGATGAGGTCTTGCTGCCCAGGTGGGTCTCGAACCCGTGGGCTCAGGCAATCCACTTACCTCAGCCTGCCAAAGGCGCGGGATTACAGGCTGAGCCACCGAGCCCGGCTTGCCATTTATCTTTTAATTTAACACAGAAATGTATGAACTGTTGTCAGGTACAGGGAAAATAGTTGCAGATATAGCTGTTGAGCAACTCACAGTCTCCATAACACGTGGCAGATCACTAGAGGGATACTAAGAAATTGTGGATGGAAATTTGTCTTGATTCCCTTTGCTCATTGCAGTTAGCAACCACAGAAGACTATTTCCTGAGTTGGGCAAGGCTTTTGACAGGTGTACTTTTTACAATCTTTTCGTGTAAGTTTTATTACTTATTACTGCTGTGTGTGTGAAGAGAGAGAGTGTGTGTGTGTGTGTGTGTGTGTGTGTGTGTGTGTGTCAGGGTCTCACTCTGTCACCCAGGCAGGATCACGCCTCACCAAAGCCTCAACCTCCTGGGTTCAGACAGTTCTTCTGCATCAGCCATCCAAGTAATAGGGACTACAGGTGCACATCTCCATACCAGGTTAATTTTTTTATTTTCGTTTTTTATGGAGACAATGTCTTGCTACGTTGCCTAGGCTGGTCTCAGAACACATGGGCTCAAGAAATCCTCCCACCTCGGCTTTCCAAAGTTCTGGAACTGCAGACATGAGACACCATGTCCAACTCAATTTACTATTTTAAAAGTGTTTTTTCACTTGCTGAATAATTGCAAACAGAAGACTAAATAGAGAGCATAGTGGCTTAAGCAAGGCTGATAGCAGTGGAGATAAAGGGAAATATATTTTAGAGAAAGAATTGATAAATTTGTTGACAGATTAAATGATTTCTGATTTGAGTGAGTGCTTTGTGATGGCATTTCTTGAAATGGAGGACAGAGTGTTGAATTGGGGAGGGTAGAGTTATTTAAAAATCCAGTTTGGATGATGGTAAATTTGAAATGTTTCTCAAACGGACAGTCTGTTTAATAGAGCTGAGAAGAAAAGTCAGAGCTGCATACATAACTTTGAGAATTGTCTTTATATAAGTAATAGATAAAGCCAGGGGACTAGATGAAAGCACCTTAGGAGAGAATTCAAAAGAACAGAGTGAAAAGAGGAAAGAAAAGAAGAAAGGAAAGGAAAGGGGGAAGAAGGAAAGCATCTGTCATGCTTAGAGTCTGTCATAGAACAAAGAACTGAATACCACATGTTCTCACTCTTAAGTGGGTCTTGAACATTAATCACAATACTACAAGGGAGGGATCAGCAGTAACGGGACACTACCAGGGGAGGGGTGTACATAACATCACTAAGGGTACCTGATCCTATACCAGGGGAAGTGAGGGCCAATGGGAGGCCCAAACTTCACCTGTAGACTACTTATGTGCCTTATCCTGACTTGTACCCCACATCGTTAAAATAAAATACAAAAAAAATGAAAGGGAAGGAAAGGAAAGTGGTTGTGAGTAGAACACGGGGCTACTAAAATCAGGTGAGATTCTGCATTCACATTATCCTGTCTTGTTGGTCATTCAGAGACCAGAAACAAGTATTTAAATCGATGAGCTAACATAGTCAATTGATTATATATGTGACTGTATACTGTATAATATTGATCTAAACTCTGTTCTTCAATATACACTATAACAATTTGATGATTCATCAACAGAAAAAAGACTTAGCCGGGTTCAGTGGCTCAGCCTGTAATCCTGCACTTTGGGGACTGAGGTGAGTGGATTGTCTGAGCCTGTGGGTTCGAAACCCGTCTGGGCAACTTGGCGAGACCTCATCTCTACAATAAATCAAAAAATTAGACGGCCGTGGTAGCACGTGCCTGTAGTTCCAGCTACTTGGAAGGCTGAGGCGGAAGGATCACCAGAGCCCAGCAGGACGAGACTGTGGTAACCGGGAGCGGCCACTGCACTCCAGTCTGGGCGACAGAATGAGACTCCAACTCAAAAAAAAATAAAAAAAAAAAGACTTAAATTCATTATATATGTGACTATACGTGTGTGTGTGTGTGTGTGTGTGTATAGTAATATATAAAAGTAGCTTTAAAGTATTCTGGTACATGTATTAATGGTCCATTAATTCACTTCTCAGGAGATTAAAGTCATTTGGTCTTCAATATTTCATGGGTTATGGTTCACTTGAGGCTTAATTAATTTTATTTTTTATATGCCATTTTTTGGCCCATGTATTCCTGCAATTCATTTAATCAAGTCAGTTTTTAATTAAGGGAATAATGTCAAAAAGTACAAAATCACCAAATAAGTTTAAAATTTATCTAATGGATTAAGATAAAAAATATTACCTTTGGTAAACTTTTCAGTAAATGTATATGTTGGAAAAAAGAATGCGCCCTGAATCTCTGATGTTATAGGAAGGGACCTTTGTTTTCCCATAAAGAACTTTGAAAGAAAGAATAGAAAGGATAATGATCTAAATTTGGCTGCTATACAGTAATGTGACTTTCCCTATAGCATTACACATTAGGACAGAACAGTTATCCGAATTCTAGAAATTATCCTCAGTGATTGCCCTTTCCTGCTCCCTCCTAGTCAGCAGAAATGGAATCCTATTAAAAAAAATTTTCACATATCTTCTGTCCCTGTTTATTTAGCCTTCTTTATCTAGTGGACCTTCCTTGGTTCAGGTGACTCATCACCATTTTCACACACTGAATTTTCTTTTCACTGATACTGCTCCTTCAGGCTTTACCTCTTCTATTCATTCTTCCCTCAGTTGCTGTGACTTTTGTACCAGTTGCAACATCCACTGCAACCACTACAACTTGGGCTACCAAGCCAATGCCATATCACATCTGGGTTATTGCAACAGCTTCCTCCTAACCCTTCTGCCTCTTCCTCTTCTGCATAAAACGGATCATATCATAGCATTGTTTAAAACCCTTCAGTGACATCTCATTAATTATAACAAATTCTAGACTTTTAACCAAGGCCTGCAAGCTCTTTTATGATCTGACCTCTGCCAATGCCTCTGGCCTCATCTCCTTCAATTTTTCCCTGGTTCAAAAATCACTAGCCACATTGACTTTCTTTCTAAACCACAAACCACCAAACTCCTTGCTGTCTCACAGCCTTCCCTTGAAATGTTCTTTACATTAGTCTTTCAAATGACTTCTTCCTTCTCACCAATCAAATCTCTGTACAAATGGCCCTCTTAAGAGGCCTTCTTTGAGTACTCAAATCCTCTCCCCTCTGCATTCTCCAACTTAATAGCATGTTCTACTTGGTTCATTCCTGAAATTATCTTGGCTAATAATGTGATCTCTGGACTCAGTGTCAGGTTTCAGACATTGGCTCTTCCACCTACTAGCTGATGGCCTTGGGCAATTTATTTAATCTCTATTTCTTTTTTCTGCAAGATTGAATAATAATATCTCATAACGTTGTTACAAAAATTAAAGTAATTAAACCTAAAGTTTGTAGAACAATGCTTAGTCATTATTATTTGTTTGTGTATAGTATAATCAATACTAAAATATATCTCTTTAAGTGCAGATCTATTTTGTTTGTCTGTTTCTACAAATACAGAATCTAGACAAACGTCTGATACTCAATAGTAGATTCTTAATAAATATGTAACCCCCCTGTTACCTAACTAAATAGTGGAGCTCTGATTAAAGAAATTCAAATTTCAAATGTTTCTAAACAAAATGGAAAAAATTACCCTGATATTCTGTCCTTGGCTCCAGTTGACAATTCATAAGTGCCAAATAATCTGCCCTTGAGTAGCAAATTTCCATTACTGAGATCTGGATACATGGGAAGTCTCAGGGCCTAGAAAGGAGGGTCAGCATGAAGTACATCACAGGGGAACTTGACCTCTAGCCGTGAGATTGCTATTAGGGAAAAAAACTACCAGGTCCAGATAGAATAGAGCAAGGGCCCTCATGCCCCGGACCATGGACTGGTACTAGTTCATGGCCTGTTAGGAAGCAGGCCACACAGCAGGTGGAGGGAGTGGTGAGCGTTGCCTCCTGTCAGATTGAACAGCTGCCCACCCATTATTTTATTTACCACTTTTGTGGGCACCTCTTTTTTCTTAATGAGTTGTATAATTATTCATTATATATTACAATGCAATAATAATAGAAATAAAGTGCACAATAAATGTTATGCACTTGAATCATCCTGAAACCAACACACACACACACACACACACACACACACACACACACACACATACACACACACACCACAACCCTTGACCCCTGTCCCTAAAAAAATTGTCTTCCAGGCAACCGGTCAATGATGCCAAAAAGATTTGGGACCACTGAAATAGAGAGTATTAGCCAGTTTACCTGGGTCGGAACTAGGGAAGGCTCCCAGCAGTGACCCAGTAACATAGTCCACTCAGGTGGCTTCCTGATACAACAAGGGGTCTAATGCTTTTCAGTGGGTAGGATTGGCTTGAAAATGGAACAGAAACTGCCCTACAAGTAAGCACTAGATCATATAGTATAACAATTTTGGCCACTGCTGGAGAAATAAGTAGCAGAAAATGTCAGAGGCAAACCATAATTTGTCATCTTAATGTTGTTCATATTAATGGAATATTTCAGATTTAGATGCTTGTATCAAATGGTATGTCTGTACACTGTTCACTGTGTTTGTAAGCCATAGCAAGTGTTAGGAGACACTGGATTTGGCTTTGGGTAGGGTTTTTTTTTTGGCTGTAGGATCTGTTCAGGGTGTCAGAGTACAAATTTAGAAACTTACACATATATAGCCAGTATGTCATCATTTCACCAACGGATTTGCTTTAAATTTCTCACATAAAGCTACATTTGTTGGAGGATCCTTCCACATACAAAAAATAGAGGTATGTGTCTGTTCCGTCTAAAAGACTCGGCATTTAAAAGAAATATGAAGCTGGGTTATGTAAGGACTCTAATACCAATAGTCATGTTACATAAAGTTTTGCATGATATGAAAACTTAGTGTATTCTTGAAAGATTACTCTCTATGCTTTATAAAGATATATTTCATGTACTGACAAAGTTATGCTATTAGATTTTAAGCTCTTTAAATTATAAATTGCTAAAAGATTTATCGCTGAGTCCTGATTTTAGTTACATAATTCATAACTACTTTTATACACATTATTAATGAAAAATCTTGATTTATAAAGTCAGATGTATGAAATGCTGCATCTAATTTTAGAAAAGTATTTTAACTGAACTGAACAAATGTAATATATTTGGCAGTTGTTGCTTTAAATATTTCTGATTAATAAGGTCCTTAGGGTTAAGGTTGCTTATGCAATTTTACTTGAAATTTATTACAAGTAGTATTCCATAGATTATTATAATTATATGGATTGCTCCTAGTGATTTTTAAATTCATCCCTTTAAAATAAAAAGACTTTAAAAGAAAAATAAAAATTAAAATGTTGAGTTAAATATCCATGTTTGTCTAAGTGAAAAGAATCTCTTCTTCGTTCTCTAATTTTTATCTAAAGAGCTACTATTTCCTCTCTAACATCTTCTTCCCCCTCCTTTTTCTTCTTTCAAACCTTTCTTTTCCCCTCTGGTAGACCTTGCTTCGAGGTCTAATTCAAGAACCAACATTCCTCTTTACTCCCAAAGGTGAGGAGAAACTATGTAGAGAGTGTATAGAGAAAAAAAGGCCATTCGATATGAGTCTTTCTCTCTGACTCGGCCAGGATCCCAGGTGCAGCATCCAGAGTAAAAGAAGAAGAAAAACGTTTCAAATACTTTTTAGGAATCTCCAAGTAGAACTAGGAAATAAGTTTGTAGGTTTTGTTTTTGTTTGGGGGAACTGTAAGCTGTTAGCGTACTTTAAAGCTCTAGAAAAATCAGACTTAAATAGTAATGTTATTGTCAACCATTTGCTTTGTTGCCTTGCTGCAAGAGCACAACACACACACAAACAGGCACACACACATTATGTGAATATGTATATCTGTGCTTAAAGTGAAGAACTAACATTGTTTAGGCAAAATCTTCTAGATGTGAACCAAGTTTTAAACTCTTTCTCTTAAACTACTAAGAATAAGATTTTGGGGGAAGAATGTTAGTTCTTTCAAATCAAAGCCAACTTATTCAAATTCACAGTCCATAGTGTAAAAACTTTAGAAAAAGTAGTTGAAGGTAGCACATTTTGTAAGTGACTTTCTAGTCTATATTTCCACATCCTTCTCTCAATACTTAATTTACCCCTTCAAAGAATACCTTGCTGTCTAAGAATCCAACTAAAACCACATGGTCAGTTGATCTTTGTAAATATCTCTAAAGAAATTGTATTTACTCATGAACTTAGTAAGAAACACTCTTATTTTTCAGGATGTCAAACTTGGGGCAATTTGACACTGATTTTTACCAATCTAATTATACCATTGATAACCAGGAGCAAAGTGGTAATGATTCTGATGCCTATGGAAATCTGTATGGCTCTAGAATGTAAGTACTTTATATTGCTCTCATGTTAAGAAGTCTTAATATTATGGCACGGGGTTCCAGGCACAAAGGTTTCCTTGGGTAAAAGCTAATTTTGCCTCAGCATCTCAGTAAAATGCTGAGGAAGAAATGTCAGAAAAGGGCAGAGGAATTAATCCAGTTCTCTATGAATGAATAACCTTTGCCATCCAGGGCCCAAGCCAAGTGAATGGCTTATCTCCTGTTTTCAAAATTTCATTTAACAGGGAGCCTGAATTCAGGCACTGGACAAACAGAAAGCATTTTCCTTTGATCTAATATTTTCCAGGACATTGCTTGAGAAACAGATTTTTTTTCATTTAATAGACACTTATTGAGTATCTTCTTGTGTGTCAGAAATTAAGAAGGGTAGTACAAACTCAAAGATACGAATGAAATCCATAGCCTTTTCCATCACAAAATTATTTAAGTTGAAGAATTGGGCAATTAAATATGATATAGTGTGAATAGTGTTATAATGGAATCAAGGAAAACATAGTTTGAAATGGGTTAGTTACTTGAGATAAAAGTTCAGCTTGAGTTGAAAATAAAACAAAATGATTAAGAATTTAGTATTTGCCCTTTAGAGGCAAAATATGACATTTAGAGAGAATAATTTTGTTCAAATTCCAGCTCTAGCATTTGTCTTTGTGACATTGAGAAGACTTAACTTCTCTGTCTTCATTTGAAAATTAAGGACATTAATCATATCTGCTTCATGGAATTAACTTGAAAAACAATTGTAATAATGTATAGGAAAGTATGTATTAAAGTAAAACCACTATATAAGTATTAGTTATTCATAAAAGCAATTGACATCGTGTTGCCTAAAGTTACTTAAATGTACTGTACTTGGTTATATAATTTTTTTGGATGTTTTCTTGTGGACAAGAAGGGTCAGACCCTTGAACTTTCATAATAACTAACATTTGTTGAGCTCTTACTATATGTTAGGAACTGTCCTGAGATTTATATAAATTAATTGTTTGGATCTTCAAACAACCATATAAGTTAGACACTACAGGTTGCGGATCCCAATCCAAAAAAAAAAATCCCAAATCTGAAATGTTCCTGCATCCAGAACTTTTTGAGCACCAACGTGATGCTCAAAGGAAATGCTCATTGCAGCACCTTGGATTTTTGAATTAGAGTTGCTTAACCAGTATGTATTCTGCAAATATTCCAAAATTTGAAAAATCCAAAATACTTCTGGTCCCAAGTATTTTGGATATGGATATTCAACCCATGCTATCATCCCCATTTTACATATGAGAAACCAGACACAAAGATAAATTAGGAAATGTTTTCAAGGTCACACATCTAGTAATAAATAGGGTTAGGATTCTAGCCCAGGGTTTTTAGGGCCATAACTAGAGTATGCACATGATTTATTATAAAATCAATACTTTTTAATGCAAAATGGGTGCTATTAATATTTGGGACAATAAAAATAACCAGAACAATCTTAGGTAAATTGAAATGTGTGGTGTATTTCAAATGTGTTAATTCTTGAAGTTTTTTTTTTTTTTTCTAAACACACAAAGCAATACCTTAAAAGCTCCAGATGGAAAAAGGAAAAGACAGAACAAATATAAAAGGAAGTGGGGAGTCTCCTGTTCCAGCTCTGCCCAAAAAATTTTGGATACTCTTCACTGATCACTTATGCAGACATAAGCAAATAGATACTGCTTTCACAAGCTTCTTCCTAGCTGTTCCTGCTGATCTAGTGCTTTAGGGATTGGAAAAGGCATTAAAATATAATGTTTTTAAAGCTGCAAAAGTTAGATCTCTGGAATTTAATCTCATCCATACCCCTATTCTGTCCTGTAAGCACTAGTCAAGTTGGCTTTTTTAATTTACACTTTGGAAGGTCAAGAAAAAACAGGAAAATGTTGGAGGGACAGGAAGTTTTTGGAGCATTAAAGTATTCCAGGATAGTCCCTCTAGGTATACCATCCACAATGAGAGCTGACTACTGGTTTTTTTCAGCTCTGCTCTACTGTTTTGTAGAAAGGAACCAGGTGACTTGAATTTTCTGTTTCTTTATTCCATTCTTTTTTCCAGATGGAATAAGCACTTGTGCAGCATCTATATTTTCAGACTAAAGTAAATTAAAATGTCCAAGAGGAGAGTCAAAACTCTCTCTTTAAGCAAAGATTCATGGACCACAGTCTTCTTCCCCCCAATTCACCTACCCCGATTTTCTTTCTCCATTTGACTCTACCTATCAACATTTCCCAGAAATCAAAATGACAAAGAGTTTTCCAATCAAATGAGAAAGGCTCATAATTATACTGCATCAGGTTGATGGCCCAGCCTGGTCCAGATGCTCAGCATTTAAATCCAACTCTTGATTTGGATGCAGTAACATTTAAATTCCAATCCACACTGCAAGTCCCAGGAATTAGGAAAGGGCATATTAGCTGTGGTCGTTTTATGAGGTACATAAAACATGGAGTCAGGTCAGTGATTTACTAGTGTTCATCAAAGAAGCTCCAGAGATTTGATCTTTTATTCATACCATAAATAGTTCAATTAAAATCTACCCCAAAATCCGTATAAAATGCTGAGGATCCTGACAAAAGACATAGGAACCCAGAGGATAGTGATAATCAATTATTCAGTTTTTGTGTCTCTGTCTTTGTATCTGTCTCTGCCTCTCCCTCTCCTCACCTCTGCCCCCAGGCTTGTTTTTAAAAGCCTGTTTTGCTCAACAGCATATAGATCTGAAAGTTAACTGTGCTTGCTAAGACAATGGAGATATTTATATTTAAAAATAAGGTATCTTATTTTAGAATGAACAAGGAGGGACTTTCTCTTTGGAAAAAAAAACTACACATAATTATTCAGTCATTCAGACAGGGATAATTTCCAGCCACCTACAGCTAGTTACTAAGGATATATTTTTCTAATTTTTAATGTGGGAAATCTATTTTTACTATTTGGAGAAAGAAGTAGGTCTTGCTCAAGAAAGGCAAGAGCAACTGAAAAACTCCCTTTGGATTGTTTGGTAGAACTTTTTTCTTTCTTTTTCTTTGAGTTAGACTCTCACTCTGTTGCCCAGACTGGAGTGCAGTGGTCGCTCCCAGTCACCGCAGCCTCGACCTGCTGGGCTCCAGCGATCCTTCTGCCTCAACCTTCCAAGTAGATGGAACTACAGGCACGCGATACCATGCCCGGCTGATTTTTTATTTATTGTAGAGATGAGGTCTCGTCAAGTTGCCCAGCGGGTCTCAAACCCGCGGGCTCAGGCAATCCACTCACCTCAGCCTCCCAAAGCGCAGGATTACAGGCTGAGCACCGAACCCGACTTGTTTGGTAGAACTTTAACAGACTAGTGTTAAATCACCATCTTTCCTTTGCATTCTATTTTTTTTTTTAAGTTGAAGATCTCATTCTGTCACTCAGTCTGCAGTACAGCGGCACCATCAGGGCTCAGCGCAGTCTCTAACTGCTAGACTCAGGAGATCCTTCCACCTCAGCCTCCTGAGTAGCTGGAACTACAGGTGCACACCATGCTCAGATAATTTTTCTATTTTATTATTTTTATTATTACATTTTTTTGTACAGATGAGTTCTCACTATGTTGCCTAGGCTGGTCTCTAACTCCTGGGTTCAAGGGATCCCCCTGCCTTGGCCTCCCAGAGTGCTGGGATTACATGAGCCACTGTACCTGGCAGAATGACCCTTTCTGAATCCTTAGACCTGATCTCCTAGTATTTCATATATAGTAAATGGCATCACTGTGTACCCAGCTGGGCCAGTCAGGATCTGGGAAGTTTGCCAATGCCAGCTCTCCCAGCTACCATTTCCTAATCCATGCCACTATTGTACGGATCCTATTTAATATGACCTTGCCAAGGGCACTTAGAATGCTTGATTTTTACAGGCTCAACTGGAAACTTATACATATGAATAACACAGATACATTTTTGGATCAATTATGTTTAAATAGTTCACTCTATTTTTGCCTCTGCAATTAATAGACACTTAAAAGTTATAAGCTATTCTCATTAAACATTTTCCTTCACACCACTGACATCTCTGCTTTCTTAAAACTGTCAGTTGTCTACTTGCATTCAGTATAGACTCTGGAATATATATAAATATATAAATAGAGATATAAAAATCATTTAAAATCCTGTCTCCCAGACATGACTACTATTAGCAATTTTATGTATTTCTGCCCAACATTTGTTCTATTTTTCTATGAATGTGTATATATTGTATATGTACATATACATACATACTTAAAAATGAAATTCTCTTCTAATTGCTGTATTTGTATTTGTGAGTATTTAAAAGTTGCTGATTTCTAAAGAAGACTTTCAGTCATTTCACAGTTGCTTGAAGTGATTTTTACAGGAAAAGAAGGAATTTGTTAGCAAAGCTAATGTTAAAATGTGACTATTCAGAGTTCAGTGTTTCTTTTGGTTTAATTACATTGATATTGATTTCATCTGAAAGAACATGCTGAATTAGAAATTATCACAAGTTCAGTATTTATCTATTCATAGCACTAGTTAAGATACTGTTTGATCCAGGAGAGTTACATTTTGTTGGTATATTCTGCGAAACTCCCATTGTTGTGAGGTATGGATAGGTGACTGTAACTTCTTAAATATTGAGCATATTAATCTGACTAATTTCATTGCCTCTAACAGATTATTCATCAAGGCTTATAGACTCAACAAAGCAAATAGCAAAGTGTCCAGCTCCATTATCCTTATTTTTATTAAAGAATATTACAGGAATTCTTTTTGTCTCTAAAAATATGAGAACTTATTGGCATAGCCATTCAGAGTGTCATCTGATAAAAATTTATAATACCAGAAGATATAGGAGACTAAATTGCATTACTCTTGATGTCCTGAATGTTATCTAATATTTTCCTTTATCTTTGGGTAAAGAAAAAGTCATTGGGGGGAAGATCAGGTGAAGAGAGAGGAGGGTGTTCCAATACAGTTATTTGTACAGTGCTGCCAGGGTAAGCCCTCGGTGGCAAGTTTGTGAACTCAATTGGCAGACCTCAACACATAACAATGACAGCTCTGATAGCCATTCCAAAAAGAGTTCCAAAATTGCTTTGACTAGTGGACTAGGCACTGGAGTCAGTGCATAGCTTCCCAAGGGAAGTACTTCGAAGGTGACCATAATGATATTCAGCAATGAGGTATATAGCACTTTTTCTAGGATGAGTTTGCAAACCTTGTCAGAACTTGTATGTTCCGGAGGATTCAAAAAGTATTACACCTGGTCCCTATTCTTAATGAGATTGCAGTGGAGTTAGTGAATGTCTCCGTGTGTATCTCTCTATCTCAGTGGCATTCGTTTTTAAAATAGGTCATCTTCTTGTTCAGGTTTACTCAAATAAAGGAGGTTAAATATGGTATTCTTAGATTTTATATTAAGATTAGTGTTGGAAGAAAACCATTAAAAGCCATGTTGTAAATACAGAGAAATAATAGGGAGTTACAAAGTTCAGAACCTTAGACTGTATATTTACCTTAGTCCAAGAACCTTTGGTGAAAGAAACTTAAACATGTTATGGGACAACTCTTTATGCTTCTTTCCCCTTTGTTCAGGTAAAAACAATTTAAAATTAACAAATAACCTCACATGCAGTTTTTCTTTCTTTTCTCTACCTCTAACAAGAAGTTAGTTACAAAGATGATTGGTTTCCAACTTTCTCACACAAGTGGTAAAATATAAAACAAAAACACAGTCAAGGAGGTATGGAAACATCATGTGTTGGCAAAACAAAATTCCCCATTTTAGCTGATCATGATGGCTCATTCCTGTAATCCCAGCACTTTGGGAGGCCAAGGTGGGAAGACTGCTTGAGGCCAGGAGACTGAGACCAGCCTGAGCAATACAGAGAGACCTTGTCTCCACAAAAAAATTAAAAAGTTAGCCAGTGGGGTGGTGTGTGCCTGTAGGCCCAACTGCTCAGGAAGCTGAGGCTGAAGGAGCAACTGAGCCTAGGAGGTCAAGGCTACAGTAAGCTGTGATCATGCCACTGCACTCCAGCCTGGACAAAAGAATGAGTTGTCCAGGCTGGAGTGGCCTCAACTGTCTCCCCAAATGAAACAAAATAAAATGCCCATTTTAAAGGAGAAACAATTTTTTCAAGATGGCTGACTAGAATTGTTTCTAGTACACCTCATTCAGTTAGGAAAACTAAAATCATGAGCAGACAATCACAAGTTGAAAACATTATCTTAGTGTGAGCATGGGAGTTCAACAGGAAACATTAAAACTAGGAAGGAGAAGAAAACAGGCACCCTGCATAGCTAGGACCAGCCTGGGTCCTAGAGTGACTCCCTAATACAAGAGAAGGTAAGTAATAGTCTTTCCACATTCCCACTGGAGAATCATAAAATCCAGACCACTGGAGAGCACCTTGAACCTCCCAAGCCCTGAACCTAACTTAGGGAGATGCCAGAAGACTGTGAGAAGGAACTGTGCCTGGGTCCTAAGCCCATTCTGAAACCTAAGCAACTCTAACAAGACACCATTCCTGATCCTAGCATTTAACAGGCTGTGTGCGGCCCTGGGAACCAGTCTCAGACCTTAAGGAACATTTGCCTCCTTTTTGAGCATGTGTGGGCTGCAGCCACTGGCCCTCGAGGTAGGTGATGCCCCTCAGACTTGACCAGAATGAGAGTTGCCATAGAGACTTAGTCTTGAGGTGGATGGAGGCTCCTCTGGCCCAGGACTGAGTTGCAGTGAGCTCTGTTACCCAGGAAAAAAGAATTAACTCCCACTGGGACTGGGGTGTGATAGGGATGCAAGTCTTTCACCTGGTGACCAATTCTGTAACTCCTGGGTTCAGCCCCACTCTCCCCATGGCAGGACCTTAGTACAGTGGCTGCCCCTCAACCAAGAACTTTACCAGGGACCTGAGGATCACCCTACTGCCATCCGTCATGGCTGATGCATGCACTTGCAATTGGGACGCCTGATCACAAGCTTGCTCTGCCTGGTTTCAGCCCCCAACTCGTAACACAGAGTGTGAGATCCAGTGTCCTGGGGGTTCCACAACCCAATTCACTGCCTAAGCACTTCTTCTAGGACACTGAGGTTGGGCACAAGCATGTTATCACTGTCACCTACTGATCTGAAGACTATCCCACACAGCCCCTTGCAACCACTGCCAACACAAACGCACACAGCTTGGGACACATAAAAACATCTCAGCATGCTATCGCCCATGCTAGTGGCCCATCGATCTTGAGAACCTGCTCAACTGCCTGGTACACCACTATTACAATCGGCATCCAAGAAACTCACCCAAGGCCAAAGGATTGACTTGTCTGGAGCCACCAACACAGAAGCCAGCATATGCAGTTCCAGGACACAAGGAAAGATATACTTAATCCACCACTACCACTGAAACCTGAAGATAGGCCCATTTGGCATTCTATTCCCTAGCACAAGTTCATCACAGCCTTCACCAATAACCATACCATAGCACACCAAGGAAACCTCATACCATTAACACAATAAATTGCTGCATAAATAATAGAGACTTTTCTATGGCACATACTGAGAAGCAAAGTCATAAGATCCTACTCAACCAATATCATAGTCACATCTTCAAAAAAAACTCCATCTTAAAAGTAAATTGAAAAATTAAGAGTTATTTTTATACCAGATACACAGAAATCAATTCATATTCACAGGAAATATGAAAAAGCAAGGTAATATGACACCACCAAAGGAGAACAATCATTCTTCGGAAATAGACCATAATCAAAAAGAAATCTTCAAAATTTCAGATAAAGAGTTTAAAATATTGATTTTTAAAGAAGCTCAATGAGATGCAAGAGAAATCTAAAAACCAATGCAAAGAACTCAGCAAATCAAGTCAGGATATAAATGAGAAATTTGCCAAGGAGACAGATAAAGCAAAACAAAGCAAACTTTAGAACAGAAAAATTCACTGAAGGAAATAAAAAATATATTCAAAAGCTTCAGCAACAAATTACGCCAAGCAGGAGGAAGAATTTTGGAACTTAAAGACAGGTTTTTGGAATAATCCAGTCAAATGAAAAAGGAAAGAATAATAAAAAAGAATGAACAAAACTTCTAAAATGTTTGGGACTACATAAAGTGAATTAAGAATTATTGGTATTCCCAAGGGTGAAGAGAGATTAAAAGTTTTGGAAAGACTATTTAATGAGATAATAGATAAAAACTTTCCTAGTAAGATATTTAAACATCCAAATGCAGGAGGCTCAGTAATCCCTTGGCAAATACAATGCAAAAAGGACTTTGCCATGGCATATTATAATCACACTGTCTAAAGTCAAAGTGAAAAAGTGAGTCCTAAAAACAGCAAGAGAAAAACATCTAGTCACCTATAAAGGAAATCCCACCAGACTAGCAGTAGGAACCTTCCACACCAGAAGAGACTGAGATGGCGTATTCAAAGTGCTTTAAAAGAAAAAAAATGCCAGCCAAGAATTCAACATCCAGAAAGATTAGTCTTCATAAAAGAAAAAGGAATAAAGACAAGCAAATGCTGTGGGAATTTGTCACAAGACCAGCCCTACAAGAAATGGTCAAGGGATTTCTTAACTTGGAAGAGAAAGGACAACACAGAAGGAACTGGAGGTTATTATCTTAAGTGAAACAAGTCAGGCACAGAAAGTCAAATATTGTATGTCTTCACTCAAAACTAAGTACTAAAAAATATGTACACATGGACATAGAGGGTAGAATGATAGTCAGTTGATACTTGGAAGGGTGAAGGTGTAGAGGGAGATGGATGATGAGAAATTAGTTACTACTTAATCTATGCATGTAACAAAATTTCATGAGTACCCCATACATTTGCACAAATACAAAAAAAATGGACATTAAAGCCAGCTATAGAATACAGTTAGCTAGTCACTCAAACATAATCCAATTGGCAAAAATTACCTGGGAACCCTCAGATTGAAAGGTGTATGTCTTTAGGAATAGCAGGTAGTGTGTGTATTTTTTTTTAATGAGTTGACTATACTATACTATTAAAATCATGAATTTTACCTGCTGCTTCTACAGATTTGTATAGGCTTCCTTTTTGATGATTGCCTCTGAAGAACAGCATAAAAGCAGCACTGTGTAGGGAGCAGAACTCTGCTCAGAAAGCTTCAGGCTGGAGTTCAGCACCTGCAATGATATTTTGTGTTACTGGGAAAGTTCTTTAGTCTCCATGAACTTCTAATTCTTTATTTATAAAATGAGATTAAAATTATTTTTTACCGTATAGATTTTTTTTTTAGTCCTGAAATCCCTCTGTCACCCAGGTTGGAGGGCAGTGTCACAATCATAGCTCATGGTAGCCTTGACCTCCTGGGCTCATGTAATCCTGGCTCAGCCTTCTGAGTAGCTAGGGCACAGGTGTGCACCACCATACCCAGCTAATGTTTCTATTTTTTGTAGAGATGAAGCCGTGCCATGTTGTTCTTGCTGGTCTTGAACTCCTGGGCTCAAGCAATCCTCTCACATCAGCTTCCCAGAGTGCTAGAATTACAGTCATGAGCCACCACACCTGTTCACTTTGTAGATTTTTAATTGAGAAAATTTGAGCACACTGTACAGGCTCAATTAATATTGGTTGGTATAAATCATTCTTCTAGAAGCCTTTTCTTGACTAATTATGTTCCTTTTCAGACTAAAGTTAAATTTTATGTGGTTTCTTCATGGATAAATACTAATGGAAACTATGTGGATTCATAAAAGGAAAATTGTAGTTTCATTCCTTGATTTGTTGTAATATATTTTTCTTGGATGGACGAATATTAGTATTTTTTTTTCTAGACAACAAGCCATTGAGGAGCCTCAACCTACCTCTTTAGTTCCACCGGAAATGCTCATGGCACCAGGTTACACAGGACAATTTTTTCAGCCAGCATCCAACTCGGATTATTATTCACAATCTCCTTACATTGACAGTTTTGATGAAGAACCTCCTTTGTTAGAAGATAAGTTAAAGAAGTGTTATTAATGTGTGTACAGCTAGAAGAATAATAGCAATAATTAGGACTTAATGTGGGCTGTCAGCATGCTGTGTACAGTGTTTTATGTGTAATTGTTTCACATATAACAAGAGTTTGCCAAGCCAAGACCCCTAAACCACTGGAAGTTTGTTGCACGTTTATGTAGGGGAAATTAGAAATAGATATGTGCTGTTGCTTGACATTGCTACAGATATTAAATGTTCCTTCACCATTTTTAAAATTTGAATTCCCTGACCATGAATAGACAAAAATAAAGACTTTATTTATTTATTTATTTATTTTGGCAGAGTGGTTATATCAAAGTAACCAACCTTCTCACTCCAGTTAATAAAGCAGTTTCTAACAGCATGTTTTATTTTCTGCTATGCTTGCCTAGGAGTAAAGGAGATAGTTTCTCAAATTAATATTTTGTTGTGACATTGAGACAAACCAATTTTTTTCTTCTCCGAAAAATGTCCTCTCATCTCAGCTTCACATAGATAGGTAAGAAGGTGGTTCCAGTAAATAACACCGCTGGTATAAAGGAAATCCAGAGACTCTTGGGGCTGAAGGTCCTTACTGGATTTCAAAGATGTTCCATTCATCGATATTCATTTAAATATACAGTCACTCATATCAGCTACTTTTGCTCTTAAAGAGTGGCAACCTGATTCTAGAAGCACAGGTGCTAAAAAAAAACTAAACTCAAGTAGATTTAAATTTGAGAGTAAAGTAGAAATATTAATTGGTTAATTGTTCCACGTCCTTCATATATAGTCAAGTGAAAAAGAAATAGATTAAAATTCTCAATATTTTACATTTTAAAGAGTAAAGATGTCTGCCTTTTATTTTTTTTATTTATGTAACAGCCAGTCATCTGGAGTTAAGACATTCTTATTTCTTTGCCTTAAAAATGTAAAAACGGGAAAGATTTAAATTATTAAAAACAGCACAGAAAATTTTATAATAGATCTTTTGGCTCTTTCGAAGTCAGTTAAGTTTTTGGACCAATATATTTATCAGTTCATTCTATTTTGCCTCTACAATTAATAAACATTTGAAAGTTATAAGTCAGTCTCATTAAACATTTTCCTTGACTCCCCCACTTTAACATCTCTGTTTTTAAAAAACTGTCATTTACCTAGTTGTATTCAGTATAGAATTTGGAAAATATAGGAACATATGAAAATATAAAAATCTGGGAGGCTGAGGTGAGTGGATTGCCTGAGCCCGCGGGTTCGAGACCCGCCTGGGCAGCAAGACCTCATCCCTACAATAAATCGAAAAATCAGCCGGGCGTGGTAGCGCATGCCTGTAATTCCGGCTACTTGGAAGGCTGAGGCGGAAGGATCGCCAGAGCCCAGCAGGTCGAGGCTGCAGTGGCCGGGAGCAGCCACTGCACTTCAGTCTGGGTGACAGAGTGAGATTCCAACTCAAAAAAAAATCACTTCAAATCTTGTCTCTAAGACATGGCTACTATTGACAATTTGATGTATTTCCTTCAGGACTTTATTCTACTTTTCTATGACTATGTATGTATATGTATTATGTATATGTATTATGTATATATGCATAATACTTAAAGCTGAAATACTGTTTTTCAATGAATGTATATGTATTTATGAGTACTTAACAATGAAAATTGGATCATACTATGCATACAAAGTTTTGTATTCTTTTAGTTATCTTATATCATGACTATTTCTATACATGCATTTTTTAGTCATTAAATATTATTTGAAAACACAGCTCATAATGGCTTCATAATATTCTATTATATAAAGACATAAATTAAACACACCTTAAAAGTTGTTCCTGGCCAGGTAAAGTGGCCCATGCCTGCAATCACAGCACTTTGGGAGGCAAAGGCTAGAGGATTACCTGAAACTAGGGCTTCAACACCAGCCGGAACAACTTAGTCAGACCTTGTCTCCACAATAAATCCAAAAATTAACCATGCATGGTGGTGAACACCTGTAGTTCCAGCTACCTGGAAGGCTGAGGCAGAAGGATCGCCTGAGCCTAGAAAGTTGAGGCTGCAGTAGCTGTGAGCATGTGACTGCACTCTAGCCTAGGCAACAGAGTGAGACTTCAACTTCAACTCAAACTCAAAAAAATAAAAAAGTGTTCCTCATAATAAGTAAGACTTTGGTGACCATGGTCTAATCTGTAAAAGGACTATACTTAGTATGTGTCCCTACAGTGGGATTACTGGGTCAAAAGGTACTTGTACTGTCAAACTGATGTCACAAATGGATATTCCACTACACCCTCACAGCAGAGGGTGTCTGTCAGTTTGAGATGTCTTTGTCAGTTTGATAGGAAAGAAGTAAAAAAGAATACTGTGTATTTCTTGCTCAATAAATAATTTTTACATTTTTTCAAATGTATATTGACTGCCTTCACTTCTTCCTATTTTTCATGGTTTTATTTTATTTGGTCAGATTTTCTATTGGAATCTAAAATGTTTTTATTTCCTTAGTGTATTTTTAAAGACTTAATATAGAAATATTGATTATTGCATATAACATGTATTTCAAACATTTTTTTTTCCCTCGCTTGTGCTTGCTACCTAATTTGCTTATGGGTCTTTAGAGGCATATAAAAAACTTAATATTTATGCTTTAAACCCAGAATTTTTCCTTGGTAATTTTCTTTCTAATTTCTCTCTCTCTCACTCTCTCTCTCTTAGAATTTATTTCTTTATCTGTAGATATGTTTTACATCCCCTTATAGATTCTCGAATTTTAAAATTATCATTTAATTTTACATTTAAATGTTTTATTCATGTTATTTTTAGCTTAACACATTAATTAAATTAACCTTTTTTTCCTACTGCTCAACCAATTTTTCTCCTACAACATTTATTGAAAATAATCTTTTCAACTTAACTGGAATGTTTCTATTGTTGTATACCCACTCTAAATGTCCTCCTCTAATGTCTCTTTAAATTTGAATAGAAAATATATACAAGATTTTCCTTTCCACTTTATGCAACTCCAAGTGAATTTCTATTTTTTTCTTTTTGTGCTGGTCCCCACTAAATATATAGTATATAAAGAGAGAGATCACTTAATATAATTTTTCGCTTTGAATCTATGAAATATCTAAACTTTTGATCCAATGTGTCCTTCAGGCTGGGTGACTTATGAAAGTCTCAAGTCTTTACTATCTAAAGATGTGAGAAAGACATAGGATTTCTAGGGTAAAGTAATAAATTTCTATTTATATTAAGAACACATCAAAATAGCCTACACAATTATGAAACTATAAGTAATGAAGATTCCCTACAGCAAAACATATAATTTTGAAAATATGTTTATTCCTTAAGTACTGTGTATTCTAAAGTACTTGTTTGGTTTTACATAAGAATGATGACTTTTGCTGTTTGTTAATGTTAATGTACAATCAATATTTTAAAAATACATCTTCAAGAATAATAGTTAATTCAAGTCTGTTAGGCCAGAAAAAGTTACTGGTGTTTGGTATTTTGTATGTGTAGCATAGCCTGATGTTTATATATGAAAGGCCAATGCCAAAATTTGCATAGAAAATAAAGATCTTAATTCATTTTTATAGCATATAGATCATATACTTTACTACCACTAGATGACAGCAAAACAATAAATTTTGCATTCAATTTTCACAGCAGTTTCATCTTTTTATTTTGTGTAATAAGAGGTTATGTTAGGGCATCTACAATGAATAAATACTTATAATCTCACTCCCATCCCTTGCAGTAAATTCAAAAACAAAGTATATTATATCACACAAAATCTTTTTTCTTATGAAAATATTTAGTTGGTATTATGCTCATTTATTATTTTATGACTCAATGTTGAATCTTGTGCATAAGTTAATTATGCACATCAAATAAATGTTCAAATCAGTAACGATGTTGCATAAAGTATTTCTCATCTAAGTCTCTTCAGAAATAATTATATTTTTGAGGAAAAAGATACATGGAATTAAAGACCACTTTATGATGGTAAATATTTAAAATGAATTGTTAGCATAAAAGTCAAAATTGAAAATAAAATTTCAAAACAACATAAGTCTCGGGTGAAGTTAATTTAAAATACAGCATTTCTCAATTTTAAAATCTTCTGCTATTTTAAAAATTATATTAGACATTCTAACCTCACTTTAAGGTTGCTGTGAACTCTTCATATGCTTTAAAGTGTGTGTTCATTAAAAAATATATAAATGCACTATGAAAATAAAGAAGAAAACATGGAAGTTGCAATGTAAATTATTTGTTTGCTATTAACTTAACTGTTCAATTTTCTTCTTTTCAAGCTTGAAATAGCAAATGTCATCCAGGGCATGTAATGAATAAAATAATCAATCTTCAGACCAGTATCCAGCTGACCATCTGAAAATGTCTGGATTGTTAGAGCAAGGTCCTCTGAGTCATGGGGATTATTAAAAGTCCATCTTATACTCTGTCTACAGGATGTCAACTTTACAAGGCATTTAGGTGGCACAGGCCACTGTAAAAGAGGTTGAGCCATATCCTGTATCTGACCAAAGAGGGTTTGTAAATCCTGGGAAAGGAAGTTGAATGCCACACACAAATAAATGTAAGACAATTCTTCACATGAAAGAGCTGGACTCGGTTTTTAAAAGTGCCATTGTGCCATTATGAGATTAGATGCACATTGACCCAACTACAACTCTGTGGTTAAAAGCATACATTCTTGAGTCAGATTGGATGAAGTTGAAACCTAGATTTTCTATTACTAGTTATGTGACTTTGGACATGTTACCAAATAGCTCAAAATCTCAACCATCTTGATGTTTAAAATAGGAATAAAATAATTGCCTTACTGTGTGTCTATAAGACCAATACATGTAAATCTTGTGGGCGCACAAACACTCAGCAAATGGTGCCTCTTTTTAGTTGAAATGCATGTACTTATAGCAGTTTAGCTTCCATTTTTCTTAGCTTCTACCTCACCCTTACTGAATTTTTTAAATGATAGAGAGAAGGTAATCAGTTTGATTGCTGGTTCCTAAATAATTAAGCCCTATTCTTCTTTAACTGATTTATTTTTCTACCCAGGATACATCTTAGTTTATCTCTACAGGAATGCTGAGAAAATAAACAAGTGTAATGTCAATATTTATTTCTATGTTTAGTGGATGTCAAACGGTGAAGAGTTTCTCTTTATAAAAAATTATAAGAGGAACAGAATCTGGCAGAGGGATCTGTGAAGCAGCAGCTAGAACTCTTTGGAAAATTGACATTGGGAAAAAAAATTAGAAATTTCTAAATGAGTTTGGATTCATGGACACCAAGCTCCACTGATTGTGGATATTTTATTCTAACACCACCATTTAAAAGGGAAAGGTTAACTTGTTTCAAGAAGTTTTAATCTTTGAATACACAGACTCAGCTTCATAGCACTTTGGCCTTATAAAAATATGCGTGCACAGCTGGACTCAGTGGCTCAACCTGTAGTCCCAGTATTTTGGGAGGTTGAGACGAGTGGATTGCCTGAGCCCGCGGGTTTGAGAACAGCCCGGGCAATTTGGTGAGACCTCATCTCTACAATTTAACAAGAAATCCAAAAAATCAGCCGGGTGTGGTAGCGTGCACCTGTAGTTCCAGCTACTTGGAAGGCTGAGGCGAAAGGATCGCCAGAGCCCAGCGTGCACATCATGGTTGCTTTTACCTGCAGAAAGAACCTTCCTCTTTTTTTCCCTACTGTGGAGTTTCCAGTATTTAGCATAAAATTGCTCTTATCATTAGACATTAGAAGTAAAATCCCAGACTTGGATTAAGTATCATTAATATAGGTAATACTATTAATTGAAAAATTATACCATGGTTGATATCCCAGAGTTTCATAAGGATTAGCAATTGAAAATACGGGAAACTGAAACATCTAAATGGGCAATTGGATGAGATTTTTAGTCTGTTAGCTGCAATTTTATTTTTTGCTGTATACTCTCGACTTTCTGATTTCTAACCCTATTTTTAAGATTGTATTTGCTGCATATATTAGAAACTTTTTCCTGGATGGAATTATTTGTTTAAAATATTGTTTTTAAGTTATTGTTTGGCAATAGAAAATTTTTAAGTTTGTGTAGAACAATCAGATTAAGATGCTAAGTAAATTAATCAGATATGTTAACCTTTAATTAGATAATGTAACTCATTTTTTATTTTTCTATATTTATATTATCTCCTTTTTTTTGCAGAACTTGGAATCAATTTTGATCATATACGGCAAAAAACCTTGACCGTGTTAAATCCGGTGAAGCCAGCAGATGGCAGCATAATGAACGAAACAGACCTCACTGGACCCATCCTTTTCTGCATAGCTCTGGGAGCTACCCTGCTTTTGGTAATGATTTTAAGGCTTGTCCTTTCCAGAGACAGTTTTGAAACAAGTTTTGTAAATACAGGGGAAGGTATACCACTTTATATACCGACATTGTATTTTTAAATTCATTACTTTTTTTAAAAAGTGAGACAGATAAAAATTAAATAGAATTTCAAAAATCAAGTCATCAAATCAAAGTTTCTACAAAATAAAAGATTATTTATGTCATTCCTCGTTTTTTGTTTTTGAGTCAGCGTCTCCCTCTGTCACCCAGGGTCAAGTGCATCAGCATGCTCACAGCCACCACAGCCTCAACCTGCTGAGTTCAGGCGTTCCTTCTGCTTCAGCTTCCCAAGAAGTTGGAGCCACAGGTGTGCACCACTGCACCTGGCTAATTTTTTTAATTTATTGTAGAGACGAAGTCTCACCAATTTGCCCAGGCTAGTCTCGATCCTGTGGACTCAGGCAATCCTCTTGCCTCCGCTTCCCAAAGTGCTGAGATGACAGGTGTGAGCCACTACTCTTGGTGTCATTCTTGTTAGTAAGAAAAGTCTTTAATCTAGACTAGTGGAAGGAAAATATGGATTTGGAAAATATAAGACCTGAATTATATTTCTTATTTTCTGTGAGATAGCTATTGTGGCACTAAATAAGACCCTTGTCCTCTTCTTTGGTAATCACTTTCTTTGCTGCAGCATAGCTCAAGACTTTCCCTAATGTCTTGTAAGGTATAAGGTTTCTCATTAGACTATGATGAATAAATTAATTTGTAATGATGGCCTATGATGTGTTTACTCAACCTGTAGATTTCCTGTATAATTTTAGTTTTCTGTCTTTATGAAGGCAATTTTTTCCTGATTTTGTCACATATCATATTCTTTATATCTGGAAGTAACGATATCAAGAGTCACCAAAAGGTAAAGAAAAATATATTTCCACCTAAATAAGGTTTAGAAGACATTCTAGCACATAGTTTAGAAAAACGTTTCATTAAAAAAAGGGAAGAAGAAAATAAGAGAAAAGTTTCTAATTTTATAACAAGGAAAGCCTGACAATACACTAAAAACAGAGAATGAAAAAGATTTTCAAGTCAATCTGAGAAGCATAGTTCCATTAAGGCACAAAGAGATAAATTTGGCAGGGAAAATAATATAAGAAATTAAAAATTCTAGAAAAAGTTTTTAAAATGACCATGTAGCCCTCTTCCCCGCCTTACTACCATTCACTTTTCATAAAGTTAATTTTCCCCAATGTATATACAATTTTCAAAAGTAATTGTAAGATGCATTTGCAACAAATAAACATTTCACTTTTTACTTATTAATTATATATAGTCAATCAAAATACTAATAGCCATCTGGTTTCCGCAGAGTAATGAATGCTAATAATTACATCATATTTATCTAATATGTTAGTATTTAGTGATATCATCTTCTTTCTTTCTTTATACTAGAGCAAATGCAAATACTCTGTAGATCAAACACTCTATCAATGAGAGTTTTAATTTGGTCTCTCACCTCCCTTCTTTTGTCTTTGTCACGGTAATGTGATAATCTTAGATTAAGCAGCTAAGTAAGGCCAAGTCTATTAATCAAATAGTCAGAAATAATCAATTTAACATATTAACTCATCTTTCTTTTTCAAGTCATTTGTAATATAACAGTTGTTTGGTCTTCTGTAGAAAAATACTACTGTTGTCATCCATTCAAAGATAGCATTAGTCCCATCAAGATCTCTCAAGGTTGTGTATGCTCATTGGGGTTATTTACAAATCCTCTCTTACATTTTAAATACAAAGAAATATGGGCAAAAAAAACCTCTTATTTGGAAGTGAGAAAACTGAATTATCTCAACTTTGCCACTTGCTGTGATCTTGAGTCTTTGGCTACATATTTATAGGCCTTCAGTTTATATTCTTCAAGTAAAAGGAGTTTGAGTGGTTTATAAGGTTCCTTTCAGTTCTGGAAGTATGGAGAATTTGTGATGATGTGTATTTTTCTGAAACTCCTTATGCAAACATTATCACTTGGATGTTTACCATCAGATGTGGTAACTTTGGAAATGATTCTGGTAACCATCAAGGAATTAAGGACTTCTAAAAAACTCCAAGTGAATATTAATTGAAGTAAAATTTAATTTAATATTCATTTGATGCTACATTAACTCTGCCCTGAATATCTAGAATTAAAATGTAAGGGGTGATTTTATAGGCCAATAATACAGGAATTATACTAGAGAAGGCAAAACTAAATCCAAAACCAGTATTCAAATCTGTCCATTACCTCTGGAGGTATAAGATTCATATTCACATGCTCATCATTTTTAAGAATTATGTTGCTGCACCTTTTAGTGTGGTTTCTTCTGATTAAAGGAGACAAACCAAATAAAACAACTTCATCCACTTAACACATTGATTTATACTTACTCTTTATTTTTTTTTTTTTGAGTAGAAGTCTCACTCTGTCACCCAGGCTGGAGTGCAGTGGCATGCTCATGGCCACTGCAACCTTGACATGGTGGGCTCAGGCAATCCTTCCACCTCAGTCTTATAAGTAGCTGAAACTGCAGGCATGCACCACCATGCCTGGCTAATTTTTTTATTTATTGTGGAGATGAGGTCTTGCCAATTTGCCCAGGCTGGTCTCGAACTCCTTGGCTCAAGCAATCCTCTTGCCTCAGCCTCCCAAATTGTGGAATGACAGGCATGAGCCACTGTGCCCAGCTTGGTTTTACTTATTCTTTCTCCCACAAATTGTTGTCACCCCAATACCAAAAAAGACAAGTGGTTTAAGGCTTTCTTTAACATTCCTGTTGGGCTAAGATCTGAAAAAGCAAAATGCATGGTCAATATAAAAGTATAATTAGAAGAATGCGAAGTATTTTTCATCAAGCTGTGATAATGAGGGTCATACAGAGAAGATCCTAAAAAAAAAAAAAAGCCACCAAACTGAGGTTAAAAGTAATGGAATGTTTATTTTCTATTTCAAGTATAACCCTTGTTAGAATTTGAAACAAATTTTTTAAATCACATTATGCAAGCCCAATAGTGTTACCACTTAAGCTGGACAAACTAACATGAGAAAACCATGAAGACAGAGGTACAAAACTGATATGGAAAGTCTCCATTTTACTACCAAACCAGGGTCATCCAGTCCCATTTGCTCCTTTCCATTCATAAAGCTGTCTCGTAGATGCCTGGAAGGTCTGGTTAAGTGTCGTTTGAGTGTAAGGAAGGCATCCTACATCATGACAGCTAGCCTTACCTCAGAACTATCCCATCCAAGGAAACTATTAAGTAGATCATTTCTTTCATACATGAAAGTGATTTGAAATTGTCACTATTTTCCAAGTGAAGCAAATTCACCCAGTAGGGCAGTGCATAATGGGTGCATTTCTGCTGGCATGTCCACGACTAGCATCATTTCATTCAATAGCCATGAGTACACAGAAGATGTGAGAACTCATCCGTGGCTAATGCTGAAGAGAATTCTGCCAGCCTAGCCCACAGATATTTAATGAAAGGACTCAGTAGTGATCGACTTCTCCTACCGCAACAGAAGAATTCAGAATAAGTGGATGATTTTGAACATTAAAGTAGTAATAACATTATCTAATACTCTGAGTCATTACAAAATATATATATCTAAAGAACTTCGTAGATAACAGTCATGGAGAAGGAAAAATGACAGCTAAAAAGCTCTCTCTCTCAATCAAGTTGTCAAATGCTTTATTGTTTTTGTATAATTTCCATGAAAACCAGAGTCAGCCTGTTTATCTAAAAGTTTATAATCAGCTTAATGTATATATAAAAATGAATGCTTTTTTTTAAAACTGGAGTTTTGGCATTCCTAGGTGGCAAATATTTAAAAATTCCCTACTGACTTTCCCTGGATGAATTTATTGGAGCTCCTACACCTTAGTGCTTTCTGAGTGATGGCTATTTCTATGAGTTCTCCTCAGAATATTAGTGCTGCTCTGAATACTACTAACTTATTTTAACAGTACCCTTTTTGTGATTCCAGTTAGTTTATGTAAATCAACATTTCATAAGATGTGGTGGGTCAACACCACATAGTGCAATGGGCACTACGGAAAACAAAAGAATTCTGTGGTCAAGTAAGTTTGAGATATGCTGAGTTAAATAGGGTCAAATATGTCACATTATTTTAGACTTTATTACTGTTCATGTCAATGTTAAAGGCCTTAATTTTGGAGCCAGACTGCCTTGGTTCCTTGCCAGTGTTCACTGCTTAGCTTTTGTTCAACTTGGGCAATTTACTTAACCTGTTTGTACCTCAGTGTCCTCATGTATAAAGTAGGTATAAGAATGAAACCTCCCTCATAACGTTATATGGATTAAAGAAATACATATAGGATACATTGATGGCACCTGACAGAGTAAATCCTATACATGTTTGCTAATTTTACAAATATGGCTTGTAAACCTCCAAGACTGAATTAGATTTTTTTCATTTTGTTATTTGACCATTCAATAATTAAACAAATGTGGGAACCTAGTCTTACTATTAGTAGTCTTGTACTCCTAATAAACAATCCATGATAAAAAAATATATAACCTTGTTAATATTTCATTTTTTGTGTAGCATTCTTGTTCCACCCCAAGTGTAGTCAGGAGTGTTTGTCTTCAGGCTCTGAATTTATATCATAGATAGTAGTTTTTCCAGAACTCCCAGTCTTCTGAAGATGATACTACAAAGATATGGAAAGCACAAAACTGTCTCAAAAATGCTTTCTGTCTTGTTGGCATTCTGATTTCCTCTTGATGTCTGTTGTGTGTTCAAATCTTTTTCCTCATGTTGTTCCAGGCAGGAAAAGTTCAGTTTGGTTATGTGTATGGCATGAGTGCCATTGGCTGCCTTGTGATTCATGCCCTACTGAACTTGATGAGCTGTTCAGGGGTGTCGTATGGCTGCGTGGCAAGTGTCCTGGGTTACTGCCTCCTCCCCATGGTCATCCTGTCCAGTTGCGCCATCTTCTTTTCACTGCAGTAAGTGTCCATGTGCTCTCACTGACCCCCCATGTATAATTATTACCAAGGCTTGCCACACTAGTGCAAAAGTTAAGCTCTTTCTGATCCTTTTGGTAGTGGAATTGGGGAAACCATAGCTATTAAAAGCTATACACAGATTCAGAAAAGTAGGTCAGTTTTGCCTCTGGTGCTATTTCTATTTTTGTTACCAAAATAATAGGGGTTCAGTTGAGGTCCTGTTGCTTGTCTCTCAGAAAGCCAATGGCTGTGACAAAGATGACTGCCAGGGAGGAAGGATTTTTATTTGGGTAATATCAGCCAAGAAAAATGGAAGACCATCTCAAATCTGTCTTCCTGTCCCACTGACGTCAGTAGTTTATACAGTGGGTCAGGAAAGTAGAAAACAGGAAGCAAGGAGACATAAGGAGGAGGACTAGAAAACAGGAATTGAGAAGGGGCGAGGAAGAAGAGCTGGTAAACAGGTGGGGTCTGGCATCTCATTGTCTGGATGCTGTGATCTGGTGAGTTTTAGTTCCTTGACACTATAGGCCTGAGGGTTGGTTTCCTGAGAAAGGAATTCAGATAAGGCAAATTTAAGTTTCAAGCTTTAAGACCAAGAGGGTAAATTTCTATGTTTACTCCAAAAAACTCTAACCATTAGTTCTATAGGGAAGTTGGAACAGTTTCAAAACATTATTTAAAAGAATAAATTGTCAAGTTATCTTTAAAACTGGCACTTTTTAAGTCACATTTTTCAATGTGAAGTATCATCATGTATAAAATAACAAATACAGGAAATGCACTTGTTTGATCTTGGAAGAGTGAGTGTCTGGTAAACACTGACAAATTGCTTCAGCTCCCAGGCACTCTGCCTTCTAGGCTGGAGGCAACTGTTCTTTCTCAGTTGGGTTCCTGCCAGTGCAGAATTCCCAGGAACCCTGATGAGGATATTAATGTTAGAGAACTTCGTAGTGTACACACTCAGTTGATACTCCCCCCCCCCTTTTCTTCCTTCACTTAGACATTTAGTGTTTGCAATTGAAGACTACTACTGAGGATACAGTAGATGTAAATTTTTGTCGGGCTCTTTCCTGAGGCATGAGCACATTATTATCACTTTGGTGAGGGAGAATATAGTCCTTTGTTACTTGCTGTGCTCCATATCCTCTTGGAAGTAAACATTTGGCATCAGTGTTCATTCTTTCACACCCAAAGAGACACAGTTTGCATTTTCTTCTCGAATGATCCAAGTCTTAGATTATCAAATGATTGGGGCATTGTATAAAGAATTTGCCAATGCCATAGATAGATGTCTTAGAAAAACCTTAAATATTTTGTTTAATATAATTGCAAATAATTTTTATAACATTGTTGAGAATGACTTATTTAGGAATGTGTTTATTGTTTTAGTATGGTCTCATTTTTAAAGTAACATTTTTGAGGATAACTTATAGCAAACCCTTAAAAGTACACATCATTTTAAAAAAAGGAATATGATGGAAAATATGTATCAAACTAATGTGAGTTATAGGTGTATTTATTGAGTCTCATCCATGAAAAAGAGTCCACATTTTGTAAACTGTGTTCTTAAAGAGTTATTCCATTTGTTTAGTGCAGAAGTTTTAGCATGTTAGTACAGAGTTCAGTTCTATAACTTCTACTTTGCCAAATACTTTTTCAAAAGAGTACTGTTGTGATACAAAGTTTAAAAACTACATAAGTTTTAAACATTATTTACAGCAAAGCTGAGACTTGGAGCATATTAAATGATTTCAAGATATAAAGAAAAAACTAGAACTCTTGGATTTGGAGTATCATCAGGTTTGAACTTTTTAATAAGGTTTTGTTTTGAAATTATAAAGGATAGTATAGAAATACTTTATATTATATTAAAAGGAAATAAATGATCTGACTCCTAAGACCATTAAACCGAAATAACCTTTTCAGGACTATTACCATATTATTCAAATTAACCATATATAATTGTATATTTTTGTTCACAAAAAGTACATTAAATAACTCTAGAAATTATTCCTAGTATTAATTAAATAATAATATAGAGTTTGTTAGATGTTTAAAAATATTTTTGGTTTATTACTCATCCAAGTCATTATAGGCGTTTCACTTGTTTTGCTTTGGTTTAATTATTAGGAGTAGATATTGCTGTCAGTCTCACAAATAATAAACACAATTCTCAACTTCAGAGTCAAACCAGGATAAAGTGAGGCAGTGTAGTTTGGTGGTGAAAAGAGCAAGGTGCGAGGAGTTAGGATACTTTGGCCTAATGTCCACTTTCTTATGCATTTTTGCCAAGTCACTTCACTGTTTTAAAGCTGATCACGGAGATCTCCTAAGATCTCTCCTAGCTCTTACATTAATAATGCATTCTGTTTTGCACATAAGAAAAAATATTAACTCTTGACCACCCGTGCCTTCCTCTTTATTCCCAAAGTGGGCACACTTTACTACCTTATTTACCTAGTTGCTCTTAAAAAACGATTGCCAGCCGGCCTCGGTGGCTCAGCCCATAATCCCACGCCTTTGGGAGGCTGAGGTGAGTGGATTGCCTGAGCCCACGGGTTCGAGACCCGCCTGGGCAGTGAGACCTCATCTCTACAATAAATCAAAAAATCAGCCGGGCATGGTAGCGCGCGCCTGTAGTTCCGGCTACTTGGAAGGCTGAGGCGGAAGGATCGCTGGAGCCCAGCAGGTCGAGGCTGCGGTGGCCGGGAGCAGCCACTGCACTCCAGTCTGGGCGACAGAGTGAGACTCCAACTCAAAAAAAAAAACGATTGCCCTACACTTACTTTTAAAAGATGCCAATTTGAGCAAATCCATTCCAGTATTCTGAAAATCCACACATACACATACACAGTGGAATGTCAGGGATGCAGTAGAAAGTCATATACATATATGCTTTCCTACTCCGCATGTCCCCAGCTGAGTGGTGTCAGGCCTGCCTATCAGAAAAAAAGCCTGGAAAGTGCACCTGGAAGTACTGGGGACCAGTTTCCCCTGGAACTCCATTTTTCTTCCTTTTCCAACTGTGGGCCAATTTTGGAAGAAAAATTTTTGGGGAAATAGAACATGTAGCCAATAAGGAAGAGAAGGCTCTAAATAAAGTCAGTTCATAAGAGAATTGTAGGAGTTGGGATTTGAATGTTGACAGATGAGAATGACTGTAGGTGACCTCTGTTTTTACTAATTCAGGTTTAACTGAAGTATAAAATATTTAGTTCCATAATGAATTTGATTTAAAAAATTCTGTCTAGCCAAGGGCTTTTGTTCATATAGTTTATCATCTTCATTTTACAAATGTACAAAGTGGTTATAAATATCCTACCAAGAACATTTCAGAGGCAGCTTCAACTTGATCACCTATTTTTCTCCCGGCATCAGGCATCTTTTTTGTCTTTACTGTAGGGGCACCTCTGGAACCATGTTAGCCCTGATCATCATTGGCTGGTGTAGCCTCTCAGCTTCGAAGATCTTCATTTCGGCCTTGGACATGGAAGGGCAGCAGCTTCTAATTGCCTACCCTTGTGCCCTACTTTATGGACTTTTTGCTCTTCTAACTGTTTTCTAAAGAATGTTTGAGATGGTGCTTCAAGATTCTATTTGTTTGCTGTTTAGCTTGTCTTGGAAATATATTAACATTTAAATTTGGTGCTATGATTTCTGTTTTATTGCTATTGAGAGAATAATAAACAGAAACAAAACAGCACTCAAGGATGGTGCTCTAATAGCCTGCTGGTTTGAATGATGTTTTGCTTTTCAGTTTGGTGCATTAAAACACTTGAAAATACTTAAAAAGGGATATAGTTGCTATACTGACGGACCCTGCTTTTCTCAATACATGTATTTCCGAGAAATTATAAGTAAATAAAATCAGTGCTTACTGGTTAAAGGAAATTTCTGGTAAGTCTTTTGAGAAACATTCATGCAATTCCAGCTGTGTGCATGTAGTTAAAAATTGCGGTTCATCACCTTTGGAGAGTTTGGGGGTATGTTATATGGGATTGTATTTAGCAAAAGAGTCAAAGACCTTCCAGTCTTTGCATTCACTTACTTTAATCTCTGGTCTTATTTAGATAGCATGTTGACTAACCACTTTTTCAAGTCCTCACTTTCTTCTTACTTGGCTTGGGTGCCATGGTCCTTCACTACAATTTCTCCCTTGTATATATCCTCAGCAACCTTGCCATTTTCTCCCTTAGTAGACAAACACTACTAGAGAAAATACCACTTATTTCATGTAAATTGTATTACTATATTTTAAAGGGCTCTTCAGAACAACACTTGAATCCTATTATAACTACATTCTCCTACTAAATTTGCTTCCAGGTCATCTGAGAGCACATCAGTTCTTCACTGCTCAAAGCTCCAGCATTTCTTCTTCATTTCTCACTATTTGTTGATTCTTATTTTACTGAAAAAATAGAAACATCTGGAAGAATAGTGCTTTATTTTCTCACCCCCCATATCTACCAAGCTACATACATTATTACCCACATCTATTTTCTACCCTTTGTCTTATTACTCTCTTCCCCTCTCCTCAGCCAGCCCCGCTACCTGCATAACTCATGCTTCCTCTTGACCCATTATCCATCTCAGCACATATGAAGGGGAACCCACAAAATGCCAGAATTTATTCATTAAAAAATGGGTATTTATTCTTGCATGTTTAAACTTGTCACCTTCAGAGTCGTCTCTTCTTAATGCAATGCACCTGTTGAGACACCCTTTCCACTGCTCAAAACAGTTTTCAAACTTTTCAATTTTGATGCCTTTTAGTGCTTCTGCTATTTTTAGTTTTACCCATTACACGTCAGCATAACATTGCCCTTTGAGGACTTTTTTCATCTGAGCTAACAATCAAACAAACAAAAATAATTGCTTGAGTGAGATTGGGTGAATAGGGAGGGTGGAGTATGGGGTGTCATGCCTTTTCGATTAAAAACTACTGACCACTCAGGTAGTTTGGGCAGGTACACTCATAAATCACCCATTATGAAATGAGCAAATGCGTTGAAAGAATCTACAAAAAAAAAAAAAATTTCACTGAAGTGGGACTCAGCCTCTCACAACACTGGTGCACTGGTACTGAAGAGTTCCTGGAACACTCACCTAGCAGGAGTAGCCTGTACTACAGAGGGCCAGCCCTCCAAAAAATAATTCCGGGTTTTGGGCGGTTCCCTCTCATATACATTTCAACATCTCTTATCTTAAAAATTCTTTGATTTAACATTATTTCCCAGTTATTGCCCATTTCTCTGTTCCTTTTTATTTATTTATTTATTTATTTATTTATTCATTCATTCATTCATTTTAGCAAATATCCTTGAAATAGTTGTCTAGGGTAACACCTTTAGGTCCCCTCCCACTGTGGGAGATTTTCTGTCCTCCCATAAATCCTGATTTCAAAAAAGAAAGAAAGACGGGCTTGGTGGCTCAGCCTGTAATCCCGCGCCTTTGGGAGGCTGAGGTGAGTGGATTGCCTGAGCCGGCGGGTTCGAGACCCGCCTGGGCAGCGAGACCTCATCTCTACAATAAATCAAAAAATCAGTCGGGCATGGTGGCGCATGCCTGTAATTCCGGCTACTTAGAAGGCTGACGTGGAAGGATCTCCGGAGCCCAGCAGGTCGAGGCTGCGGTGGCTGGGAGCTGCCGCTGCACTCCAGTCTGGGCGACAGAGTGAGACTCCAACTCAAAAAAAAAAAAAAAAGAAATAGTTGTCTAATGTCTCTGCCTCCACTTGATCACTTCCCATTCTCTATTACAGTCCCTTAAAGAATTCATCACCCCGTTCAACAAGACCACTTTTGTCATCCGTAACAATGTCCACATCCTACTAAATTCAATTGTCAGGTCGCAGGCTCCTTTTATCTGAACTGTCAGAGGTATTTATTTGATTACCTTCCTCACCAATCTCCCCCTGCTGATGTGCTAAAGAACTTCTTTCTGAAGTGTCACTTGCTTTATTTACTTATTTATTTTTACCTCACTGATAGCTTCTTCTCAGTCTCTTTAGCTGGTCTTCTTTTCAACCTCAAATCTTTTCTCTAATCCTTTCTTGCTAGATGAGCTTATTTAGTTGCACGGATTTAAAATCTAATGACTCCAAAATTTTCATCTCCATCAATCACTCTCCCCTAAACTCTTGACATATATGTTCAACTTATATTTAATACTTCCATTTGTTTTTCAACATGATAATCTCAAAAACAGCACATCTGAAACCAAACCCTTGACTTTCACCCTGTCTTACCTATTCCTCTTCCAAATTTTCGAATCTTTATAATAAGAACCACAAATCAAAACCAGTTGCCCCATCTTCAAGCTAGTGGTTAGTCTTGGTTACTCTTGCTTTCATATTCAACATCTAGTCTGTCAATTATTTTGACACTATAATCAAAACATTTTCCAAATGTGACCACATCTCAGGGTTCTGTCCCTGCCAACACTACCCAGCCACTCTCATGTGTTGCCTAAATGAGGCAATCTCCTAACGGGTTTCCTGTCTGACTACTTTCTCCCCTACTGGGTTTTCTATACACAGCAGCCAGCATGATTTCTTGAAAATGAAAATCAGTTCTGTCATCCCAAGACCCTTTTATGGCTTTCATTCATATTTATAATAAAACTCAACCTCCTTTTTATAGCTCAGAAGCATTCTCTTCAAAGAGTGGTCCCCAGAACAACAGCATGAGCACTCCCTGGAAACTTGTTAGGAATTAAGACTCTCAGGTTCTGCCCCACACCTCCTGAATCAGAGTCTGCATTCTAACACAATTCCAGGTGGTTTACATGCACACCAAATTTTGAAAAGTGTGAGTCAAGAATTTGCCAATATGGTAAGCAGCAATAAAACCAAACAAGGGAGCTCATGGAAAGAGAGGATGTCCACCGATGATATTTATCTTATCCAGTCTACCTGCAAAATTCTTCCTCCAAATTTTTCACTTCATTAATGTCTCTGTTCATATGTTACCTTCTCAGAGAGGCATTCTCTGGCTTTTTTTTTTTTTTTTTTTTTTGCAGCAGTACACCCACCCAGCTTTGCTTAGTCTATCCTATTACCACCAGTAGTTCTTACAATTACTTGAAATTATGTTATTTATTCACTTTTTTGCTTTCTACCTTCCCCCACAGAAGATAAACACTCTGAGACCTTGCCTATACACAACAGTTCCTGACACAGAATAGGAGATCAATATATACTTCTCAAAGAAATGAATACATAAATGAATAAATGAATGATACTGTAATTGGGTATTGGTCACTATGGTGAACAAGAACTGCCCTAATGGAAATTACATTGGGAGTGGGAAAAAATAGATAACAAACAACTCAACAATAAATAAATGAGACAATTACAAAAGTATGAAAAGAATTCTAATGTAGAAGCATGTGGAAAAAAGGCAGGACTGTACTAAATGGTTTTTATTTGTTTGTTTTTTCACTATGGTCTTTTGTAGTTTTAAACACTTTTGTAGTTTAACAGCCCATTAATTAACCCATTAATTAAGCATGGAATTTTCTTAGGTTCTTAGTTTTTCTGCTTGGGCTGAGATGGTCCTACTGGCATCCTTTATGCAGGAAGGTAAAACCAGACTGCCATTTACTGTAATGATTTCTCTATAAAAATCACCCCTTTGCTTAGAGGTATACTTACATTATAGTATGAAATTTTGTACCTTTTGGAAAATGCTTTTATTTTTTAAAGTTATAGGTAAAAATTGCTTTAAATTCAGGATGTAAGTTGACATTTTTCTATCTATAAAAATAGACTCACACACAGAAAAGTTTTGATACATTTACCGTAAAAATTCATACCTTATAGTTTAAAAATCCATGCAAAGAAAACACTAAATATTTTCCTAACAGTAAGAAATAAAAATAAATTCTATTTAATAGTTCTTAATGACAGAAGTTTGAAATACCTAAGAATTCACATAGAAGGAAATAGATATGACCCATGTGAAAATAAAAACACAATATTAGCGGTACAGTTTACACAGAGACTTAACTATGCAGAAAGATATATCCCTGGAGGAGAAGATTGGACTTCTTTAAAGATTCTCCCCCAAATAAATGTGTATATTTAATATAATTTCAATTAAAATTCAAGAGGAATTTTTCTAGGAAGTTAAAATTATTCTAAGGTAATCTGAAAAATAGGCAAATATAAAGCTGAGATAAATTATTTTAAAAATCAAAAAATATATTACAATTGAATATATGGGTTAAATAAATTATTATTGATCTCTATAATTGAATACTAGGTAATAAATATATTATAAAAGAATCATGACATGAGAAAGTGTGTGCAATACATTTTCACAATTCTGATATTTACTAAAGACTTACGATGAGCTGGTCTACATGCTTTATGTATATTAACTCATTTTTATTCCTCACTATAACTTTATGAAGTCCTCTTACTAACACCTTCATTTTACATGTGAGGCTACTGAGTTACAGAAAGGCTAAATTGCTTGTCCAAGGTAACTCAGCCCATGAATAGGATTTGGATCAGGGAAGTTTGATTCCAAAGCCCATAATCACTGTGTAACATTGCCTGCAATTAAGTGGCAACATGTCTTCTATTTATTCTACTTGGATTTACCCTTTCTTCCTGAAATACTAGACAGAACCAATGGGATTTACCTGCCAAAAAAAATTAACACAGAAATAGGTTCAAACAAAAAAATACAATGTCTAACAGGATTAAAGTGGTGCCTGCATGACTCCTGGATCCATGTCTGGACTCTAGTTGAAATCAATGATGCAGATTTAGATCTAGTTAGCAATTGGACAGAAAAATTCCACAAAATACAGTTCTCTTCCTCCTTTCCAAGAAGTGTGTATAGTATATGGATTTGGGTAAGGTGGGGGTGTTTTCTTTTT